TTGATAATCCAAACACAATTTTTCCAGGGAAATTCCTACGAAAACGAATAAACAAAGATGGCTAAAGCTTGCCCCTCATATACAATTACATTGGACAGAGTTGAAGGGCAGATCAGGCAGTATATATGTTTCTAATAATAGTGAATACATTCATGGAGATCGGTTTGACCTTTTCAATCGTGCAGATCGCTTACAGATCTTCCTGCATGTGTTTTCTTTTTCCACCCATGAACTCAATGCCAACAGCAAGTGCATTGAAATGTTCTTTTGACTTTGTTTGTTTAGCTTACATAAGGCTAATTTGTAAATTTTACCCTTAAACAGACTTGCAGCGTCATTTAAACTTGAACTTGACTTTGAATAACCGAATGCGGTTTGATGAACCAAATAGAAAATCAAATGAAAATGCACTAAAACTCACGGGAAATTGGGAAATACCTGGCAAAGGTTTTCGTTTCGGCCAATCAGTGATTTCGGTGATGTGATTCAACTTTTACTTTCTGGCACACTTTTTTGGCTTCCCAATGCATTGAGCAACTTTTTGTTTTACTTTCGTTTTGTCGTTTTTTTTAACTTAATTTTAGTTTATTGGCATTTGATTGTGTACTTTTCATCTTTGATGTTGTGCTGAAGGACACACACAATTTGGCTAGGAATTGCATACCCTTAAAAGGAAGCTAAATTCAATTTGCTCATACAATTCAATTATTTCTAAAATAATTTCTTTGCCAAACGGCTTAACAAACAATTATCTTAGAGAAATTTATGGCCCTTGAGGATTGGGGTCAAAATGTAAGCTCATTATTTAATGGCACAAATGCAAGCAACGTCAAACAAATTGCTTTCGCAAATTCCCCACATTTTATAATGCAGTTTATACCCAAATTAATTTAAACTGCATTTAATTTAGGGTGAGGGGAGCAGACATTTAGCTGTCAGAAAGTAAAATGCATATATGTATATGCAGAATGCATATACTTTATAAACATTTTATTACTCTGGCACTTGGTCTGTAACAAATTGCTTTCCCAATGTGAAGGTCGATTATAGTTTTCGCAAGTGAAATGAAATGAAACGAAAAACGAATTATAGAGATCCTACAATGTCAACGATGCGTATGCGCAATTTGCTCTGGCTCAGCAGCGCAGAAAAGCTACAAAATATAATTAATATAAATACCACTTTGAGTCATAGGGAATTAGCGAAAATAAATATATATTTCAGCCTTTTGTTTTGTACCGAATGCATTGTGTTTTGTGACCGTTTTGTATGCTCTCCTTTCAATAGATTTCCCATATAAATAAAAGCAAAATTAATTTGTTGAAAGGGGTTTCAGTTAATACTTTCCTCTACTCTTTTAGAGTCCTTTTTTCAACTTGCATCACCTGGGGACTCATAAATAGAGCTTAATGGCTTCTAATGCCTCAGCTGAAAAGCTTTTTCCCACTCTATGCTGTCTATCACACAATTTGAATAAAAATACACACATTATGTGGCACTAATACATAGTTTGGCCGATTCTATATATAACGATGGTTAACCTTAACATATAGCAGACACCTTCAAATGAATTCTGCTAGAAATATAAAAATAAATATGTGTACTCGATGTATTCGCGTGGATATATTCTCTCGCCTGATTTTGCAGCCGAAATCCGTATCTATAGCCTTTGGCCAGCTAGAATCTGATCGGATTGGGATTGGGTTGGGATTGGGATCGGGCCTGCTCCCACGCAAATGAACTTGAAAATTAATTGTTTCTGCAGTCGCACAATTGCAGATCGCGGGGGAGCAAAAAATGGATATTTATGGGGCTTTATGTATTAAGAGATACGAGTATGTGTGTATTTGCTCAATGCCACAGGGGGTTTGCCTTCCATAATTTATTTGGCTTTCAGAAGCTATGTGCCTGAGAACACACATTTTGTTTATAATTTCATTAAAATTGAATGCCAGACGATTTCTTCGTCGGACTGGAAAATTGAAAATTTTGAAAAATCCACAAGTTATTTGGCATGTTTGGCTTGGCCCATATATTTTTTTATAAATAAATTAGTGTCTATTTCCTTTCATCTTCTTGATCCCCAAGGACACAAGGGTCAATGCAGTTAATGCGGATTTAATAGATTCATATGGAAATTGTACAGAACTAACCTTGAATTCCGTCGCAAATTTTTCTGGTGATAGATTGATGATGGTCAGACAAACTGGCAAAATGGGAAAGCGAATTAATATTTTGCCACTTGCTTTGAGTCGCTTACAGAACATTGCTGCTGACACTTTGGGATACAATTTTTCGGTTTTCAAATATAATAAAGAAAGCCATTAATGGTTCGCCAGTGACCACCCACTTGCAATTTATTTCCTCTGAACTGTCCTCCTCTTTTTGCGAAGAAGTCATTCGTTTATCAATACGCTGCTGACGTCACAGAGATACAACTTGTACATCCTGTTTATTATTTTTGACTTTCAGTGTATAATATACAAATGAATACAAGCACACAAAAGCCATTTATTCTGGCTCTGCATTCCATTCATGAAACGAAGGGGAAGCAAGTATGTAATAAAAAGAATCTTACATATACAATTATACAAAGTATATGAATAAAGATTACTCGAGTCCATTTGGCCCATAGATGACAGCACAAATGTGGACAATGTTTTGATATGTTTGGCACAAGTGTTTCTCGATATTATAATATAGTTCTTTATGGGGGTGTCTACTGTCCAATACCAAAATATTGGAAGGTCAAAACTGAAAGTTTCGTTTATTTTTTAGCCTGTCTTTTGGCTGTCCAAATTTTTAACTTGTTCATTGTCTTGTACTTTGGCAGTTTCTCAGGACTTCTGTCTTTTTCGTTTAGTTTTGTGTCGTTTTCTGTATTTCACACATCATTGTGTGATGAAAATATTTTGAAGCTGTTTTTTATTTGGAACCACGTACATATAGCAAAGATTTATCTGGGCATTTATCTGTGTATAAAAAGAAAGACGGAAAATAGAAAAAAGACAGGAAAAAACAAAACATTAAATCGACTCGATGCAAGGTATATTAGCAAGTTGACGTCAAGGGATACAGTTATTTTTCCTTTGTTTATAGCAAATTCTATACTTAATTACTAACCACTAAGCAAAACAACGCTTCCGAAATATATTTTGTACGTTATTTTATTTAAATAAATATACAAATTCAAATTGAGTATATTACACAGTTTATGGTCAGTAGGTACTGCAATTTTTATTTCCCATACGTATTTAAATTGCATATTATTCTATATATCCTTTCTGCAAACGCCGAATAAATCATACTTTACCGTAATCAAACCAGAACAATTTTCATGTGTTTTCTTTTTTAACGCAAAGCTAAAAACCATGAGCCACAAACAAATTGCCCTGATATGCATAAATTTATGATTTCAGCCCTGATTCGCCAGCGGGCGATTTATGGGCGAAGGGATAATGGGCCACGTTTAAAGCGCCTGAAATGACTTGTGACACAACAAATGGCAGTAAGCCATAAACAAGGCGAACTGTGAATTATGGGTGCAGAGGGCACAAGTGAGGGCTTGTACAAATCGACACCTGCAACTTGGCTGGGTTGCATGTCCTTGGTTCCTTCGCAGCTGCTGCAGTCTTGGTGTAATTTGGCCGCAATTGTTAGTTGGTTAGTTGGTTAGTTGGGCGCATCAGGCTGCGAATTTCCCAAAGGAGCGCAGCCAAGTGCTCGACTCAATTTCCAGTTGGCAAATTGGCTTAGTTGCCAATCGAGACGAGCATATGCGAATTGCATTCGAGGAGGAAACATATGCCACCAGATCCCATTCATTTGCGCCGTGCCGCCGAGACGCCTCAAGGTGTCGTAGTGAAATTTATTCTTAGTAGCCATGGCCAGAGCCAGGTGCATTTCTTTGAATGTGAATGCAATTCAATTAGCCCAGATTCAAGGGGGGAGCGAATAAATAGCAATTGTCCTTGCCTCTAAATTGTGAGCACAACTCAGTTGGACTTGGCTAAATTAACAGATCCTTGGGCCAGCGGCAATTAGCTTCGTCCTGCCCAAGGATAATGAACTGGGCGATGGAAAAGTCGAGTTCCTCCACTCAAATGTCAGCCACGTATATAACTGAGTGATTTAATGACTGCTATATGTACCATATATGTTGCATACTGCAGTCACAGTGCGGCATGTAATGTAATTATCCCAACTAATTGAAAGTACTTTATGGCTTTTCCTGAAGGCCAATTTATTGTGACTTAACTGTGTGGTTAGGTCATGTTATTAAAGGAAACGGGCTTGTAAAAGTTTTGAGGTAATAGAACAGTTTCTAAGAGTTGCAGTTAGATAACGATTTGATTTTAAATTCAAAATTATACGAAATATAATTCCCTTCCAAGATATAAGATTCCCAATTAATACCGCAAACGTGCCACCACTTTGCTAGTTCCCATAGATCTTAACGAGCCTTGGTTTGGGCCAACAAAGTGGCGTTGAAAGCCATGGCGAGACAGTTGTCTCCGCGGATGGGTGGAACGATGGATGCGATGACACGCTGAATCAACAGAGGGATGCAATGGACAGTCTGGTCCATTGGAATCAAGTAAGGCATTCAGTTTTTCAATGATTTCGCGGTCAAAGTGGACCTGCTGAAAAATGGCACAGTTTTTCAGGCAGACCGAAGCCACTCGGGCGTATGTGTAATGCAAACTCACACTGAGGAAATCCATAAATTCTCTTAAAAAGTATGCCAAGCCATTAAAAAGACATTAAAAATGCGGAAAGAAGCAACAAATTCTTGAACAGAATCTATGTCAAGGATATTAAAACCTATTTTGTATATTTTTGTGAAACCACTTTGATTGATCACCTTATATAGGCCCATTCAAACTCATTTCCTGTACATCTAATTAAGCCAGTGACCTAAGTCGGGTGTCAATCAATTGATTCCGGTCTGTCAATGTCAGCCAAGTGAAGCCTAAGGAAGTGACTCCCTCTGCCACAAGATGTACGGACTGCTGCTGGAGAACCTCTCCGAGTACATCAAGTCCGTCTACGGCGAGGAGAAATGGGAGGACATCCGGCGACAGGCAGGCATCGATTCGCCCTCCTTCAGCGTCCATCAGGTCTATCCCGAGAATCTGCTGCAGAAGCTGGCCAAAAAGGCTCAACAGGTGTGTGCCAAATACTCAAAATACATGAAGTTCGTTCCTTCGAAACTAACACACGTTTGTAGGTGCTGGGCGTTTCCGAGCGGGATTTCATGGACCAGATGGGCGTCTACTTTGTGGGCTTTGTGGGCCAGTATGGCTACGATCGTGTCCTTTCCGTTCTGGGTCGCCACATGCGCGACTTCCTCAATGGACTGGACAACCTGCATGAGTACCTGAAGTTCTCCTATCCGCGGATGCGGGCTCCCAGCTTTATCTGCGAAAACGAAACGAAGCAGGGTCTGACCCTGCACTACCGTTCCAAGCGTCGAGGATTCGTCTACTACACGATGGGTCAAATCCGAGGTAATGCCGAGCACTTGTTTGGAGGGTACTAGCTGATTTTGATTATATCGATTATAAATTCAGAGGTGGCACGGTATTTCTATCACAAGGAGATGCACATCGAGCTCGTTCGGGAGGAGATCCTGTTCGACACGGTCCACGTGACCTTCCAACTGACCTTCGATAATAGGGCGTTCACACTAGCGTCCTTGGCAATGACCCGAGAGGAGAAGCACCTGCCCATCAGTGCTCATGTGTTGTTCGAGATCTTTCCCTTTTGTATGGTCTTCGGGTAAGTAAACCCTATTTTTATTGCAATACTCTTTAACTTTTGATGAATTTGTTTAAATTTAGTGCCGATATGGTTGTGCGAAGTATTGGTAACTCTTTAATGGTGATTTTACCGGAACTTCTGGGAAAAAAAATAACGGCCTGGTTTGACCTAGTTCGTCCACTAATTGCATTCAAGTTTCAGACCGTAAGCGTGTGCCTTTAATATACATAGCATTACGTAACCCCTAAATACCTATCAGATACTCAATCGCACTAACAACATTTTTGAGCTGGTCACTGTGGATCCAGTTACTGAGAGGTTCGATGTGCAAAACGAGGACTTACTTCAGCATGAAGATGGCAGCGAACCGGAAAAGTCTCTTAGATTAAAAGGTAAGTCAAAAGTCTTATTATCAAAAGGCAAACCGAAATGTCTTACGAAAATGAACTCATTTTGTTGAACTTTCGTTAAATTATAAAACTGTGTTCAAAGAAAGTGTTATTTTTCGTATTTTTTTCAGGTCAAATGGTCTACATGGAGAACTGGCGCATGATCATGTTTCTGGGTACTCCCGTAATGCCGGATCTGACCTCGCTAATAACCACAGGTCTATATATCAACGATCTGTCCATGCACGACTTCAGTAGGGATCTTATGCTGGCGGGTACTCAACAATCGGTGGAACTCAAGTTGGCCCTGGATCAAGAACAGCAGAAGTCAAAGAAGCTGGAGGAGTCCATGAGATTGGTAAGAGTTATAAGAAAGGGTATTTTGCTCATAAATAACAAGGTGCAATCCGAAGTTGGATGAGGAGATGCGGAGAACGGATGAGCTTCTGTATCAGATGATACCAAAGCAGGTGGCTGATAGGCTCCGACGAGGCGAGAATCCCATTGATACCTGTGAGGTGAGTGTCCCTCAGAACAATATCCTAGATACTGTTTACAATATCATATGTTATCTCAACAGATGTTCGATAGCGTTTCCATCCTGTTCTCAGACATCGTGACCTTTACCGAGATTTGCAGCCGCATTACTCCGATGGAGGTAGTGTCCATGCTAAATGCCATGTACTCCATTTTCGATAAGCTGACGGAGCGGAATTCAGTCTACAAGGTGCGGTTCATTCCAATATTGTTTGCCTCTATGCTAACCCATGATTCCTAGGTGGAAACTATTGGTGATGCGTATATGGTGGTGGCGGGGGCTCCTGATAAGGATGCCAATCACGCCGAGCGAGTCTGTGATATGGCGCTGGACATGGTGGACGCGATTACCGATCTGAAGGATCCCTCAACGGGCCAGCACTTAAGGATACGTGAGAAAATATTCCATCTTTATTTATATATTAATGTTCCAGCTGATCCCCTTCAGGTGTGGGCGTCCACTCGGGCGCCGTGGTGGCGGGCATCGTGGGCCTTAAGATGCCCCGCTATTGTCTCTTTGGGGATACGGTGAATACCGCTTCACGAATGGAGTCCACCAGCATCGCCATGAAGGTGCACATATCCGAGTCCACGAAGGTTCTTATCGGACCCAACTACAAGATCATCGAGCGCGGTGAGATCGATGTAAAGGGCAAGGGAACCATGGGCACATATTGGCTGGAGGAGCGTGAGAACCGGCTGCCTCTGCAGCTAACCGCCGCTTTGCAGGTCCATCCGCTCTCACCTGTTCCACCAACGCCCACACCCAAGACGAAGGCCATAATGCCTCCAGTATCCAAAGCGTTGACTCCGATGGTTCCCGTTTCGGTTTCCCTGGCAGTTTCCAGTCCCGCCACCAGTGTTCCTGCTGTGGATGTGATGGCTCCTTCGTCAAGCATTTCCGGTTTGGTACTAACTGCCGCTGCAGCGGCACACATGTCCTTGCACCACCAGACGGTGGTGGCGGAGGCATTAACCGGAGGTTCATCTGAAGTGGTACCGCCAGTATGTGGAGGAGCAGCTTCTGCCACAACAGGAGCGGCGGCGGGTGGAGGTCCACCCCCGGACGACCGGAACAGCCGCATCTACTCACCCGTAACCTTTAAGGATGTGGCTCGGCGTAGTGTAGCCAATTCTCCGGTGAGGGGCAGCGCCCAACCGGATCAGGAGAGGCGTCGCGAGTCCCGGTCCAATTCCACGGGCCACGTATTTATGCGGACTCCTTCGGATATTTTCGGCTCTCTCATCCTGGACACTGAGGAGTTTCTCGAGGACCTGCAAATCTCCCGTTCCTCACTGGCCAACAACAACAACAATCCGACACCATGCGGCTTTAGCCCAACTCCTCCATTCCGGATTGGCAGCGCACCGCCAAAGCCGAGACCTAGTAATCCGGATAAGTTTACACCGGAGGAACTGGCCGCCATGGACCAGGTGACGCCTCCGTCGACAGCTCCAGCCAGAGAAACGGCCAGCTGCAGCAGTGCATCATTGGATCGCGACAAGGCGACCAAGCTGAAGTAAGTTCTTAGATGGTTTATATGTTAGAGCTCCGCAAGCCAACTCCTCCGTTATTAGGAAAATCACTTTCTCCACCAGCAGCAGTCTGGATGCTACCACTCCAACTGCCGTGGCTGCCGTTGTGTGTCCAATGCGTTCCAAGTCGCCGCCAATGACAGTGGCCCCAGTGGTACAAATGGTTCAGGCCAGTACCAGCAAAGGCGACAGCCAACGACCAGGTTCGAAGGATTCGGTATCATCCATTTCCCTGCACTCGCCCCCACCCAATCGTTCCAGCTCGGCACCAGCCAGGTGAGCTAACAAGCAGGACAACATCTTTGCAAAAGTAACATGAACATCATTTTCCAGACCGCACTCAATGTCGAAGGCAGCGCGAAAGGCCTTCCTGGCCGCCAAGCAGACCAAGGCAATGGAAAAGCTGGACAAGATGATCGAAGAGGTACACGAAGTGGAGTCCCAGTCGGCGACAAAGGCGGCCAACATGCGGTTGGCCCTCTATGGCCATGATGGCGGTGGTGACTTGGCCGCCGGTGGGTGTCCACTGTTTCTGCCTCCGCCGCCGCAGCAGCAGCAACAGCGCCTGATGCCCAGCTCCATCTCAGACTCCGGCCTGTGCAGTCATGGGTGAGTTGATCCTGAATCGCACCTTCTATATTCCTTACAAACATTGTCTTCCCTCCCGCAACATAGTCATAGTCATGCTCCTAGCTGTCATCACATGGATCCGAAGATGAGCAACAGCCAGAGTTTCCAGCATCCTCCACGTGGCGGAATAACCCATCAGTGCTGCAGCGGCTTTGGACACGGAAATGGACGTCACTCTCACCGGATGCACTCGAATGCCTGCCGAATTCTGTAGAGGATGGCAGCACGAGCACATCTCTCACCAATTCCATATCATGTATACTGACTCGAATTCCGCTCAATGTTCCCGCGTGCTTTTTGGTATAGTAATAATAACTAGTCGGCAATTATTAGGATTTAGATAGATGTTGAATCTCATAGTGTATAGAATAGCTTAGATAAAGAATGTACCTACATGTTACGTGTACCCCGACTATAGCTAGTCAAGCAGGGCTTTAAAATTTGGCAACTCAGTGTCTAAATATGCTAAAAATCTGTAAAAACTGTTAGCACCCTTGATACCTATGTGTATTACTCAAAAGATTTTAAATTTCTTGACCTCTAAATATGACAATACCAACAGGAAATCAAACTACAAAAGGAAAGACATTTTCCGTACATTTTCATGAAACCACCTGAAGCAGAATTTGCTCACAAAATAAACTATACTAAATAAATGTACTATAAAATCTCTATATATTTGTAGTAGTTAAATGATTAAGTAGATTATATGTGTAGACGAGTACTAACAAAATATTTCCAAAGCAAATCGGAGCTATGTATTTTCTAAATGTTTTAAAGAACAACTCAGATAACTATTCAAATAAATAGATGCGCAATATAGCAAAGTTGAAATGTTATTCCCCTATGTATTAATTTGTTGGTCTATTCCAAAGACAATAAATCATGGAATGGCTTTCATACTTGTTCATCTGAAAGTGGCACATCCTTTATTAAGAGATCTTAGGTTGACAGTTGTAAAACTATAAATCACAAAGATTTATACATTTTTGTATTTATTTCAAAATAAATGCATTCACTTTGTTTCCTATATTAACTCATCGAGAAAAACAGTATAAAAGCATGGCAAATAAAAATAGCAAAATTAAATATTGTGCTACTTAATATATTTCTGAGTTGTAATCTGTTGAATACCTCATTTTTTCAACTTATTTTCATTGCACTTTTGGCATATCACATCTGAACTTATAATGGCAAGCATACAACTGAAACAAAAATTTTACGAAACGATACAAGTTAATGTACCCAAATATATGTATATATACACTCAAAGCGTAGGAGTTCGACTAGATTTGGTTGGGCTATCGGTGGGTTTTTTGCTTAGGCTCTCTCGATCATTGGCGTCTGAACAACATCTTCATTGGAATAGATGACCGTACCGTCCAGAGTCTCAATGGTTTGAATAGTGGTCTTACAGTAAAAGCACACCTTGGAGTTCATCATGTGCTGCATGATGCAGTCGCTGCAGGACTGATGCTTGCAGGGCGTGAAAACGGCAGTGATGGGCTTGGCGCAGCAAATCGGACACAGGGAGTCCTCCGATGGCAGTGTAATGTCCGAAAGCAGAGTCTGTTTCACTCGCAAGCTCTCAATAAGCCTGCGAACATTGTCGATTTCTTCACAGGACACATGAGAGGGAACTGCGAAATGGATTGAAACGTTGCTTAACTTATAATTATTTCATTGTCGTTTTAAAATACTTACAATCATTAAGGGCAAACTTCAGGATTGGCGGATCGGCACGAATACGTTTGGAATTATTAGGTAGAGGCACACGTACATCGTTTGTCAGCGGATCAATGTGCGGCCTGGAAGAGGGATCGAAGTTACCGCGCGGTATATTCTTCTGCTCCAGCAGTGGTGTCCGTATTTCTCCTAGTGCAAACTCTAGCGTGGCAAACTGGAAGCTCGGATCGGTGAGAAAAGCCCGGGACACCCGCGTTACAATCTGAGGTCTCAAATCGCTCTCCATCTCGTCCTGCATTAAGGCCAGCAATATCCCCAAAGCAGCGGTCACTATGGGATAGTGGGTGACTGCATTTAGATCCGCAGAGCACATGTCCACCACGAACTGGAAGCATCCGGGTGGCACTGTAACCCGCGAGAGCACCTGGCTGATCAGCTGACATATGCGATTTAGCAACAGATCGCTGTTCGGACGAGACTCATCCGTGACGATTTCAGGCGCTGCTGTGATGACCATTTCCAGGCATCGCATGAGCGAAACAGTCAATTCAAAGCACATGGAGCAAATCTTGAGCTGCTTGGGTTCAAAAAGTGTGTTTTCCTGCCTCTGAGCGGTGTTTTGGATCTACGAAATATGGTTAAATACAGTTTATGTAAATCGTTGAAATCGAACCAAAAACTGACCTCCTGAAGCAGTAAAATAAATTCCGAAAAAGCCCAGTTTAATTGGCTTAGCACAGAGTTCAGGAAGGCGGTAGCAAAAGGCTCATCTTCCAACAATTTTGTGCCGATTAAACGCTGAAAATGCTTTGAAGGATTAGCCGGAGCAACGTTGTGCAGCAATCCTGTATGCGTCTCGTTTCTGGAACGACTGCGACACAGTCCCTGGTGGAGGGGCAGCGAGCCACCTTGCCACACAGAGGGCTGGCGGGAATCCTTGTAGGCATATCCCTCGCCCATCCAAAAGCGCAATAGCAGCCAATTGCTCTGGCCCCAAGCCCTGTTCTCATAGGGGCGTAGCAGGGCACGAACCAGACTAGCTTGAGACCTCTTCGAAGTTCGTTCCAGAGCTCGCACTCCGGACTTGTGGCAGGTGAGCGTTCCCAAAGCTTGCAGCAGTGAGTCCTTGCAGGACGCAAGCACAATGCGCGGATCTGCCGAATGAATGCCGAGAAACTCCGCTGCTGCGTTCACGCTGCATTCCGCATCTGAGGCCTCGAATTGGGCTTTCAAGTCATGGTGACTAAAGTCCATTACGGCATCCAGCAGAATAGGCAGTGTATTAACATACACCTCAGGTACAAATGAGAACAATGAACCCGTATTTGAGGCACTCTGAAGAGGGGGTAAGAATAAAATCAATAGGAGTTAATATTACAAATGAATCTGCATACCGTCAAGGTTCGTAGCATGCGCTCTAGTAGCCATATGAGCAGGGATCGCCTGTGACTGTTCAGGGCCACCCCTCTTAGCCAAACTTGTTTTCTTGCCAGCGCAATAGAGCGTGTCTGCAAATGGGAAGTAACACATTCTAAATGTTTATACAGCGATTGGCAAATTACCCACTTACAGCAAAAACATTCTGCCGCTGACTGAACTTGGACCGCAGCTCGCCCATCACATGCTGGTGATTCTCGTTCATACAGACATTGGCATGCTGCTCCAATGCACCTAGTTTACGCTCAATGTCCTCCCGGTAGAACTTCGTCTCCTTGAGTACTTCATTTAGAGCAGCGATCTCGTCCCTTACCGCGCCTATCTTTACTATATACTTGTGGCCAGCCGAGTAGTAAAAGATGATACACAGATCAAGAAGTTCGCAAAGGCTGGCCTCCATATCAGCGTTGCCCGGCGAGGAGTCGGTGCTGTTATTGGGTCGTGTATTTAAGAAATGGGTGTAGGTTGTATTGTTGGCACCCTGAGTGTGTCCAACTACAGCCACGTTGTTTATGTTTTCGCCCAAAAGGTAAAGCGTAGTATCTGAAATTATAAATTACATGTTGTAATTTGCTTACTGGGTGCTTTAGCATCTACAAGAAGTTATCGCATACATACCCACTTCATTGACTCGCAAGTTTTGCCTATCATCTTCATAAATTTGCTGAGTTCGAGCAGATCCTAACCTGGCATCGATGTCGGCCCGATGCACTTTCCTTAAATGGGACAAGACACCTCCAACGCGATCAAAGTGCATGTAGTCAAAGGTACCATCTATGAAAAAATCGCTGTTCACCTCCACGTTCTTGGTAGGCATTTCTTCCTTGAACATCGAGCGGATCTGATCAATAAGAATGCTAGCAAAGGCAAGGGCCACAGGCGCATCGAGTGGATGTTGTATGCTCGATTGCATGAAGAAAAATGCGTGGAAGGGCTACATGAGGATAAAAGATTTATGAACTCCATGCAAAATCATCTGTGGTCACACTTACCCTTTGCTCCATGCTGAGATCGATTACATAACGACGCAATTTGCCCAAAAATATTGAGCGGCTTGATGGACTTTCCCTTGTCCCATCCGAGTTGATCAACAGTGTGCAGAGAAAATCTTTTTGTGCCGCATACAGGGGCTCCGTAACTTTGCGCACCTTCTCGACAACGTTCAGATATTTTTCTTTGGGCCCATCGATTCCTTCTGTCCAGGCCATACTGTCGGGTAGCAGCTCCTCCATTATGTAGAACTCCAGCGGATGTATGTACAGGAAAAAGGCGAGGCTAAACGAAAGATTATTAGAATCGTCCAACATTTTACATGAGTTTCATCTCTTAGCCGTACCAGTGCTTCTTGAACAGCTTTCCTTCCAGCAGATACTTTCTGGTCTGTTCGTGCAGGCATAGGCAATGCAGCGTTCCGAGCGCCTGGCGATGCTTCTCATAGTCCAAGCCCTGTATCGTATGCGTAAAAGTAGACAGCAAAGCGTTCACTAGCTTCCGAAGCACAAACTTGATCTCGTCGCCCTCCATGTAGTTCCAGAAGAGAGATAGCAAGCCGTGGAGTACGCTGTAAGAGTTTTCCTTCTCTGACGCTAGATTTGCCAGGCTCGAGATCTTATTCAGCAGCACGTCTTCGATGATGTATGGATCAAATATCTCATTGGTGAACTTCTCAATCAGCAAGGTGGCAAATATGCAGTAGACGGTCTTTTTAGTGGAAACGCGGGCCTCTGTGCCATTTGTGGCTGACATCCCAGATTGGGCATTGTACTTGGAGAAGATGCCAGCGAGATTGACCAAATAGGTCAACAGGAGGTTGGCACGCTGCAGCTTAAGGATAGGTCGGGCCATGAGCGGTTGGAAGCCCGATATCGGATACATGAAGGGGCGGTTCCCGAAGTTAGCCTCGATACCCTGCGTATAGCCCAAGGAAACGGCTGCGAAGAATGAGATGCCCGGACCCTTTTCCAACTTGTTGAATGCCACGCCCATCGAACGTCCGTTTCGATAATACTCGATCACTTCTTTATCCACATCAATAGTCACGCCAATAACGTCGCCAATCTGCCATTTATCGCCGTACCTAGAAATGTAATCATAAATGAATTATGAATATATTGTGGATATATGCCAAAAGCTTACTTTTTGGTGGATATATGCCAGATCTGCTGTTTGCTGCCATCGTATCCATAGCTGGACTTTGTATCCCCCACACCGCTGTTTTCATTAAACTGGCAGGAGTTGGAGGCCCAACCAATCTGCATGACGCCCTTAGTGTGGAGGTGGATCTGTAAAAAATTACACGTTCTTAGTACGCACGAGCAACCCACACTCCTCAATACGAGTCATTGACCTGTGCTCAACCACCGCCAAATCAAGCACTCATTCCCCAATCTATAGCTACTCCCACTCCCACGCCCACTCCCTATAATAGTGATTACCTCATACATCCAGCGACCGCCGTACACGCAACAATTAGACCGGACCGTGTTGAAGCTGCCTTGGGAGCGCAGGGCCAGGCGATCCGAGGACACGCGCACTGTAGTCGTGTAGTCCACATCGAATATGGTCAGATCCGGGCCAATGCGACTTTCTGTCTCCATGTACAGGCGCCGGATCTCCTCATTGCTGTCGGTCTGGATTTGCTGGAACTTGTCATCTAGCCATGTTCGCACTATGATCATCTGCCTAAAGGAAAGGGTTGTCTATAGTAGAGGTACACCTCAGGGGCTCAAGACACTCCTACTTGGTAACAGACAAATCGGCGAGCTTTGCTGGTCTCGGATCCGGAACCGTTGAGCAATTAGCGCCTTCCAAGTCATCGTCCAGATCCGAGTATAGATTATCGTGGTCGACCTGCTCGAATATATCCTCGTTGAATACTTTCACGAATAATTTTGATATCGACATCTTGGCTCTGTCATTTCAATGCCAGCTTTATCCAGCGACACAAATTCGTGTCTGATTCCGAGCTCGACCGTCACAAAAAAGGAATTATTTTGCTTTAGGGGTGGTAAACTCAGACACTCCTTGTGAGTTTGTTTAACGGTGCCAAATATCGAGTCACGCGTCAAGCCGATGGTTGGAAGGAAATGAAATTTTCACAAAATATTTAACAGTTTTCTATTATTTTTGGATAGCTGACCCGTAAAAATCTGTTCCCAGTGTAATAAAATCCTGTCATCATAAACCAAGTTTTTAATTCAAAACTTAATACCCAAAACCGAGTGAATAAAAATGGGAATTGTCTTGAAAAATATAAATCTGTATCTAATCGTCGTTCAAATTTAAATTTCAATCGTACATTACTTTCATTTTTTATTACTTTCATTGACCCCCGCAAAATATCGCATACATTTGCTCCTCCCTAATACTTCCATCCTGCTCTTTGGCAGAGCACACTCCATCTTTTTCTAAAGGCGCCAACAAACAGCTGTTTAAATTCGACATAGTTGTCCAGTACTGCTCGCTTTTGAGCGCTGCCCAACACTGATCAGAACGAAAAGTAATTCTCGCAATGTAAGGACGTGTTTTTTGTGCTCCACTATTAAAGCTAATTAAATTATAAGTTGTCGATGATTCATGAAAAATTAGTTACCAAAGGAACCACTCCATGCTCATGAAATGTCTGATATTTACGAGCAGTACAGTTGCCTTTCAATTGATTGACAATTTGCTGTCGTCAGCGGCTGTGTTGCTGATAGTGATGTCCATTTGTCCGAAAGCTAGCTAGATCTGGCGGGAAAAAGACGTAAAGCAATTAAAGTGCCAAGTGAAACGCAATGAAAACAATTCTCATAATGACGGCTATTAAATAAATAAATTAGCTATCACACAGTTGACCTTGTGTCAATAACTTCGCGTGGAGAGTATTAAAACGTTAATACGCAGAAAAGAAAACGTACATATGTAGCTAACTGGTCAGCGATGTGGAGTGAAACCGTTAAATTTGGTGCTTATTGTTCTTGTTGTTGCGTGTCTCACAAAAATAGAATTCGCGAAAAGAAATAGAAGGGAATCAGAAATCAATGCCAAGTATTCAAAGACAAGACCATTACAACATACGTATGTAACTGGTCATAAATGAATATTATTTGTGATTATACTTGAGTATAGTTGTTTGTAGTCTAGGCAATTGATTTATCTGCTCGTTCTCGACCCGTTTCTTGTTCTTATTTATTTTTTTGCGCGGCAATCAACGCAAATTTCCGAGTGTGTGTGTTTGTAATTTGAATTCAGTTAAAATGGACTGGAAATACGTTTGTATTCGTATTAATTAATTGTTATTTACAATGTTTCAAATGCTTCCATTATTTTGGCCAATCCGCCCTCCCAAAATACACATATATGTATAGTTTTCTTATCACTTCTTTCCATTACATGTACGTAACTACGGAGCTCTCAAAGAATCCGTATACATTGTATGTTTACATAATGATATCTTTCGCGCTCTTCTCGCTCTTACCCCCCTGCCTTTTTATTTATCGAGCAAAAATCCACTTTGGTGACGTTAATGGAATATGAACAAATATAAAACGAGCAAAGCACGGCGGTGGATCTCTGCTAAGCAAATGAGAATTACAGGAAAGCCAGTGGAAAACCACCAGATTCTTTCATAAGCAACGATGCTTCATTTTAAACAAGCCGTAACATTATGAAACCCCCTTTGTTTTTTCTTGGCCATGATACTTAAAGAACTCAGCCATATTAATTACTCAGTAAAGCATACAATTTGCATTAAACACCTTCAGAGTTAATCTCAGATATGATAAAGATGTATTTGTTTTAGATTATTTAGAAAGTACATACATATATAGTTTCCTTTTTATAACTAAGAAATTGTTTACGATATGATAGGGATTTATAATATAAGTGCTATTATTGCTACTAATCAACACTTAAAGCGCTGAATTTTCACAACATCAAAGAAAATCCCCACAAACATATATAACTACCAACCATATATACCAAACTATATACATATATTCACACGAATCTACGCATGTACATCAGATATAGATCAGATTCTTTGGTCACGTACATATTTGTGTATATCTATACTCTATCTTTAGGAGTCCTGTTTTAAAATCATATAGTACACATTTGTTGTAGTTCCTTTCACTTGTGTATAAATAATTGAAGAGATAATGAAAAGTATTAATTTCTTTTATTTTTAAGTATAAATATTACGCTAATACCACATTTAACCTTTCCAGTCTGCATATCATTTCCGAGCTTTTTCCGCCTGTAGGTTAATTCCTAAGATAACGAACTGCGATCTAAGCGAAATAAGACATAAATATTTAGCACCATAAGACTTCCAAGATAAACAATATAAATGTGCCAAGGGAGAGCCCGCAGAGCATTTGATATTCAGCAAAAAATAGCAAAGTTTCCCGAATGTTTTTCTGGCCATTACCTAATCGATAGTTGAGTGCTTTGGTCTCTGACGTATTGAATGGTCGTGCCATGTGGATGAACTGAGGCAGCTGAGTTGTACGCGCTCCCAACTCAGTCGAGGGCAGCGACTTTGATTGACCATATCAGACGACACTTGTCGCAGTGGTCGCTTATCTGAGCTCCGACCTTCCCCGCCAGCTTCATGCCCCATACCCCATCGAAATTGAGCCCAGTTTTGACTTGGCCAAACACAGGCACGAGTGATTTTCAGTTTGCCTTGTACAAATAATTTTGCGGAGAGCACTTGTTGCCCGATTAGCCATAAACATTGTACCTGGCCTAGTATATTTTACCCCATGTGAGCGAGATTCTCAACGGGCCTACTTCATTTCTTTGCAGTCAGTCGAGGGCAACGGACACGTACACGTTTAAAGTTCAAAGGAACCCGTAGATTTGCATGCGACGCGAATAGAGGAGCGAGAGTTCCTAAACACAGACAGAGAAGATGTCACAAAACCAATCTTACTTCTGGCAGACGACCAGACACAATGTATACCTGAAGCGCTCGGCAAAATGGCACATGGCGCTGGCCCTGATGGTGGTGCTCACATTCGGCACAATTTGTGCAGCGGAAGCTCAACCGGATAGTGCGGACAATGCGGTCATTGAATCCGGAATACAGAGCGTATGGATATATGTACCTATTTCCTCCTTTGAACCACCTATTAACAAATATACTTTAATGCTTGCAGAACTTGGAGGTGCAGGGCGATTTAAATAAGCCAACGGACCTGAGTTCTTTAGCGGAGAAATCAAAGGATGATGCGGATCGGCCAAAGTCGACGGGCACCTTTATCGATGCGTTCACCGCATCGATCTCTGTTATCTTACTAACAGAGCTAGGGGATAAGACTTTCTTCATTGCCGCCATCATGGCCATGCGCCATCCGCGTTTGATTGTCTTTGGCGGTGCCATCGCCGCCTTGGCGCTAATGACGGTACTCTCATGCGCATTTGGCATGGCAGCGAACTTTATTCCTAAGGTTGGTCGTCACAATGTGACATAGATAACTTCACAGACTAAAGAAACTAATTTTTACCCACAGACTTATACGTATTATATCTCAACTGCATTATTTTTAATATTTGGTTTGAAAATGCTGTACGACGGCTACAAAATGAAACCAACCGACGCTCAGGAGGAACTAGAAGAGGTGCAAACAGATCTGCGCAAGCGCGAGGATGAGGTGAGTCGTCCTTAATGGATCCCTTGTATATAGTAGTGGTGCTACATGTTGCAGTAGTTTCTTTAGATCCTAACTTTTTTTCAATTAGTCACGCTTTACTGCGCTACTTTATAGTAATTAGTTATTTTTACTGCTTTTGTTAATATCTGCGCTTAATTTGTTGTTTTACTATTATTGTAACCATAACGACTGGCAAAATGTAAAGCACAAAAAACCAACAACTAATTGATGCTCCGCTAAAGCGATCACTTCACATGCCACGCTTTGGTTTTCAGTCTTACTTGAGATTAAACACCATTTTATTTGCTTCAGACGAGAGCCGCGAACTATAACAAGCAAACAATTACTAATCAAACACGAACTCCAAGCTTTTCATAATTGTAATTACACCTTGATTGCATGCTAATTAGAAAATTTTGTTAGCCCCCAACAAAACATCAATGGTTACCTTAACTGAATAACCCAAGCCGATCATATAATGGACGCTCCGAACAGCGTCAGTGAAACACCTGGGTGGCCACATACTCTCAGTTTCTCTCAGCTTCCGAATATCTTTGGCTTTGATTTATCTAGAATCAATCGCGCGAAATTCACATACAAACATTTACCACACATTTATGCCCATGTGACTAATTGCACGATTTGCGCATATCAAATACAAGCGAGTTTCAAAAGTTTATTGAACAAAGCAAATTCGTACTAAACCAGAAAATCGTTTGAAATGGAAAATCTTTTTTGGCAAACGAAAACTCCACCAGAATATTAATCAAAATCAAAATTTCTGCCAATCGAATTTCTAGCTAATGCAAATTTTTAATTGTTCTTCCTTTATGCAACACGAAATTAAACAATTTGATATAACGTTGCCCCTGAAAATGTTATCGAAACAAACATAAAATATATATGTTGCACTCAACTTTGGTTTGTGTGTGGGCCGCTCTAAACGCAGTTACTGCGCAAGGCCAGCCGAAAGTACGAGGACGCGGAGGGCAAGCGAAAGAACAGCAACTCGGACAAGGAGGATGCCAGCGAGCAGGCGCTCATCCATGGCCGCAACTCCATTTCGACGGCAGCAGGTTCCACCACGGACATGCAGCATCGCCAGCGAAAGCAGCGCAACCATCTCAATAACAACAACGGCACCACCATCCATACTAATAGTAAGCAAAATAGCTGTGATAAAACTGGCAACGATGACGAGGACCGGGAGCAGCACGAATCGGAAGTGTTCCTCAAGGAGGGCGGTCGCATTGTGGAGCAGCTCAAGATGAAGACCTTCCCCAGCAGCCCGGCCCACTCGGCGGCCTCATCGAACCAGACCGAACAAACCAACTCCATTGCCGCCTCCACCACCACCGTCGATGTCCAGCTGGCTGGCCATCCCACCGATCCGTCCGTAGGCGGCGCCTCGGAGCCCCGTGCTCCGCTGGCCGGACACGATAGCATGCACAGTCTCAACGGCAGCCTGAACGGGGATTCTGGACCTGTGAATGGCACTCTCAAAGCACGGGTTAGGCCATAGACCGTTTTTGCGATTGTTCCGCTTCCGTTTCCCATTCGATTACGTTTTTCGAAATTGGAATTGATTGGCTTTTTGCTTTTGGGTTAACACTAAACACGTACATAGAGATTGTTGAATGGACTGTCATAAATGGACTGTCCCCAATATCATAAAATTTAGATTAATAAACCGCCTTAACTTAAAATCTCAAGTCTTCCAAAGAGCAATAGAGCTAAGCTAAAGATAAATTTCCATTATAAAATGGAAATGAAAGGCTAAAAAAGTAACTGTTAGTAATCAGTTTTATTTCTATAAAATGTAATCAGAATGAGGTTCGGTAATCTATATATCTGACATCCGCTAACTTTTGTTGTTACCCAATCATATACGTTTCACGTGCTTTTTGACCAAAAGAAAAGAACTCACACTCAAAAACTAAAACTCATAAAAAACACAAGCATCAATTATTTTTTAACTTTAAGTCATCTGGCATCTGGTTTTGTCGCCGAGGTCTTTTATTCCTCATTGGTATCGTTTCACTTCAATTGAATCGCACACATTTCACCCAATTTCCTCTCTGCATGTTGTTATGATGAAGTGATCGTTTTTTGATTTTTGATTTTAGCTTATATTTTTGGTTTAATCAGCAGGAAAAGCGGTATCCACGTTTTCTGCCTCAAAAGTATTTACATGTAATTTTAATTCGCTATTTTACCCCTTTGTTTGCGCACATTTTCATCGAATCCTTCTAGTCCGCCTGCTGATCCCATACTGATCCATATAAATCCTCATTTTCTTTTACAGCTGGATCGTGATGTGAACGCGGCGCTGGTGAGTGACGCCGAGAGCGGTCGTCGCCGTCCACAGAAACGAGGTGCCACCTACTTCACCATGCGCATCCTGGCCCAGGCCTTTACGATGACCTTCCTGGCCGAGTGGGGCGACCGCTCCCAACTGACCACCATTATTCTCGCCGCTAGCAAGGTAAGCAGTTTGGATTAATCCTAAGTGCCTAATGAGAGAACATGTTACGAAATCATTTTCCATTGCAGGACGTTTATGGCGTAATCGCTGGCGGTGTTATTGGCCACTGCATCTGCACCGGCCTGGCTGTGATTGGTGGTCGTCTTGTGGCTTCCAAAATCTCAGTGCGCACTGTCACCATTGTGGGTGGCATTGTGTTCATCGGATTCGCCATCTACGCTGTCGCCATACCTCCGGATGACTTGTAGGCGAAGACTTTATACTCTAAACGAGATTGCCCGTTGACGACACCACAATATTATGAAGATTTAGTTTTAGTTACTAACTGATAACCCCCATTTTTCTTCGAGGAGCATCAGGCGAGGATCGAATTCATTCAAGACGGAATGCATCAATGTATTTAACGTAGCTTTCTTGCCAAACAACCTGACATATTTATGCAAAAAAAGTGCCTTCAGTGCTTTCCGCTTCGGCCATGACATACATTTTTAGTTCACACAATGAATTCTTCTGTTTTCCAATTGTCTAGTATCGCTTTGATTTGATTGTTCAGTTTCGGGTTCGTGTTAAGTATTAAAGATGATTGTACATACGCGTGTAGAGCTACCACGATGCCCACGCTCCTCCGAGTTGTATCCTTCCCTCCATAACCCACATCCTTATTCGCATATTTGTTTACGTAGCCGTGTTTACTTAATGGAAACAACCAAAATGAAACTTTGTAGATTTGATTATTTATGCGATTTTTGTATGAAAAACTTAGTAAATTGAGCAAAACAAAAATTAGAAAGTGTGCTTAATGAGCGGCGGAAATTAAATTATTCATTTGTTATTCTTTTGTTTTTAAGAGGATTTAGTTTCTTGTCATAGGCATAATTTATTATGGTTTAAGTTTGTTTTAAAGTTTACATTGTGTTTTACAGTCGAAAAATAATTTGGTTAGATTAGTTGCGAAGTTGCAGTGCCTTGTGGCTTACTGCTTTATTGTTTTGGGATCGCGATAGATACCCGTAAATAGGATCGATCTGGAAGCGCGGTCGTAGATGATGAAAAGGAACGGATGGTTGCACTCAAACTTGGCGGGCTCCACGGGTCTGGCCGAGCGGTATGTGAATAGGACTGTGGCCGCCGCCGCAGTGCTTCCCTCCTCGTCCACCTTGATCTTGGCCACGTGCTTGGAGTCCCCGATGGAAATCTTCTCAGAGGTCAGATCATCGAAGGTAGCGGCGGACTCATCGAACATTTTGCTGACTCCCATTTTGGCAAGGATCTAAGGAATAGAGCGGGTAAGAACTAAATCAAACTTTGGAGTCGAGAGATTTGGACTTACTGGGTTCAGTTCCAGGCGCTGTTCAAACTCAAACTTCGGCAGTGATACTTCGATTTCGCGGGGCATGGCCTGCTTGAGCGAATCATCCAGACTGTCGGCATTCAGCCGGGAGAGCACATCTTCGAGGGAGTTACTGTTAAACGGCGGCAGGATGAGCACCATGGAGATGTCCGAGTTCTCGTCCGGTGAGCTGTCCTCCGTCTCCTGCGACTCGAAAACGGTGCGGTAGGGCAGCTGAAGCACGTGGGCGCGGAGCTGCTCGTCGACATTCAGCAGGAAGGTGCCCTTTTGCTGCATCATGGACACCAGCGAGAAGTTCGACGGGGACGTGTAGAAGGGCATGGGAACCGTCTTCTCTGTTTTGAACCTACTGAGCCACTGGCCCTTCAAGTAGGCGGCGTTGGCCAGGACCAAACGAGTGGCCGGAGTGATTTCATCGGCACTGAGCATATTTCGTATTTGATCGTGCGTCTGCTTGGCAATCCAATCGTTGATTTGCTTCCGCGACTCCTCTGGCTGGTTCTTGAAGTCGATCTGCTGGACCTCCTCGGCCAGGCGGTTCCTTGCGCACTCGGTCACGTGCAGATCATTGGCAAAGAATATGCGATCGGCTGAGGAGAACTCAAGTGGCATTTTGGTCTGCCGCTCCTTGCGCCTCATCTTCTCCAGGGTGTAGGCGCTGCGCACCACCTCCTTTGAGTCGGCCCAATCCAGATGCAGCACCTTGGCCAACTCCTTCTCCGTATCTCCAGAGGATCCGAAATAAGCGAGGAGCAGGGCGTGGTACGTGCTATAGGGCGAGAAGAAGACGTTCTCGTTGGGGGTACTCTGCCGGATCACGTTCAGCATGGACACGGCGAAGTTCTGTTGGCCCTTGTAGAGGTTTAACCGCTGATCCAATAAACTCACATCAGGCTCAACACCACAGAGGCCGGCTAAGGCGACGGCCGGCAATATCGCCATCAGAGATAGACTGAGGATGTGCATGTTGGGAAAGCCTGCTAAGAGTTAGAACACATTTTAGTTTAAAATTTAAATTCGTGAGAGAAATGAGTAACCGAAAGGCATGGGACCCCTAAATATGTGACCTTGTCTACCATTTTTTTGGGTGTGTGGTTTGTGAGGAATACGTGACCGGCATCGAATCCTGGTATAATTTCCCACCTCATAAATCCCGTATAATTTATTAGACAACTAAGCATTTAAAGCGCACTCGAGCAATACGAAATGGTGAATCACCCAAAAGGTTGGCAAAATAAGATGCCTGAAAGTGATTTCGGTGATTTTTGTGCAAATGAGCACTAATTATAGGAGTACATAAATTAGAATGCGAGTCCTAGCTAATTAGGTACTTAATATTCCCAAACTTCAAGTCATTAGTCGTTTTCTAGTTACATAGTTACATTGAGAAAACGTTGTAATATACCAATTTAGAAAAAGTTCATAAACTAACTAACTAATTACTAAGTTATGATGGAAAGGAATAATATGGAAGCGATTTCAGCTCGTTAAACATCGCTTTAGGCTGATTCATCGAAAGCTTTTCCAGTCCATCGAGTGGTGGTCGGTCAGTTATCTGCGGACAACAGTTGCAACATCTCCGCAGAGGCGACATACAAAAAAGTGAAAGTTTCTGCCGCTCCGCACTCGAAATTCGCAATCCGAAGATAATGTACCCAGAGCCATTCCACCCATTCCCATCCCGCCCATATGCATCCATTGGAGCATGGAGGAGCGCCCACAGATCGGATCGGGAGCTTGAGCTTTGTGGCGAGCATAGTGCCATAGCTCCAGTTTGCTTTTTAGCAGCTGAGCGATGACGAAGTCATCCGTTGCGTGACTGCAGTGAAAAGCGCTTTGTGTAAAAATAAAAAACCCAAAATTAACATTTTCGATAACCGGTTGCAGATCCCACCGGCAGTTACCAATATACATAGTATATGATTCATAAACGGGACGAATTGTTGGCGTTTCGTATTCCAACGCGTATGAATGCTCATTGTTGACCCTGTATGGCCGATTTTGTAATTGCTTTTGGCTGACTCTTTTTTTTTTGTGGTTTACCCCATAGACGTAACGCTTGTTTCTGCGCAAGTTGGGTTTTTTGGACGAATCCACAAAATATTAAACAACCAGTTTTGACCGACAGAAGGAAGTGGGCATGTCAGCCTAAATTAAGCTGCATTGAACTTGGGATTATTTGTTTTGGCAAATACACTTTGAAAATCCATACTTGCTTTGAAATTGCTCAAAAATGTAAATTATAAAACAGATTTAAGAAGTATGCATTCATTTCTTACTACTTCTTCAAATATACAAATTAGGTAGATAAATGTGATTTACTTTATATCATTTAAGTGATTACGCTGTAAATTATTTTTGCAAAACAAAATGTAATAAACTTTTGAATTTCCACTGTTTTTCCCGTATTATTCATATGTCAATAAAAACAATATTTTTCTTGGAAGTTATTAAGTGAAATCCCATTTAAATTGGAGGTCATTATGGTATCACACTTCAGAGATCAATCAAATCAAGGCTATATTGTCAATAAATTATACACAACGAAAATTCACTGCCCTATTTCAAATCGCTCTATACATAAGCGTGTAGTATGTGCAATTGTGCAATCGTTTGCATGCTGATTAGTGTAACGGTAATAGGCGACGCTTTAATTTCGACTCGATTCGTTTAATGATCGTCGCAATTGCCGGGAAGTTGAGTAAATTAGGACAGACACACTCGATGAGCACTGGGAAATACCTTCTTTAAACTGTACTTAGGCTTATTGGCACCGAGATAGAGAGACTATGACAACTTGGATCGACTGCAAGTCCGTTCACCTGCGCATCTGACTATAAACTGAGTCCGGCTGCCCAGAGTAGCTGGGTATTTGGGTACTTAAAACCCAAGCGCAGCTTGGATATCGATATCCGATGATCGCCAGACTTCAATTGGACTGGTCACCCCGCCCAGGGAAGATGTGGGTAGGTTCAGCAGGTTTGCGTTTCATCTACAAGCAGTTACATTTAAGTTCTTAGGCCGTTATATGGTACTTAGTGAACTTTATTAATGAACAGAAAGTATTAACTTAAGTGGCAATGTGAAAAAATCGAAAGCATTTCAGATCACTTTTAGTGCTTCATTTTTCTGGGATCGCTATAGACGCCTGCAAACAGGATCGTATCGACCCTTTCGTCATAGATGAGGAACACGAACGGATGGTTGCAGTTGAATTTGGTGGGGTCGGGCTGTCTGGCGGATCGGCTGACAAAGAGGATGGTGGCCGCTGCCGCAGTGCTGCCCACCTCGTCCACCTGGATCTTGGCCAGATGTTGGGCCTCATCGATAGCCAGGGAAATGCGATCGGCAGTCAGGTCTCCAAAGGTTGCTTCTTCAGAGAAAATTTTGCCCAGTCCCATTCCGCTAAGGATCTGGAAAGGTAAAAGTTGGTTAGTATGCCTCAATTGGTCCAGTCAACCCATAGCTTACCGGGGTCAGTCCCAGGCGCTGCTCAAACTGGAACTTGGGCAGCGACAACTCGATCTCCTGCGGACCTGCCGTTTTGACCAAGTGCTTGAGGGTATCGGCATTTAGTTTGGATATTACAGAATTTAGACTGACTTCGTTGGAGTACGGCAGAATGATCACCATGGAGACATCCGATTTCTGCTCGGGAGTGGAAATGTGAGTCTCCGCCGACTTGTATATGGTACGGTAAGGCAGCTTGATGATTTGCGATTCCAAATCGTCATTGATGGTCATCTTGAAGATGTCCTTCTTGTGCATCATGTGAACCATTTCCTGCTCATGCTCGTTTATGAAAAACGGCTTCAAGGAGGTTTCCTCCACCTTGAACTGGTTGAGCCACTGGCCCTTCATGTAGGCGGCGTTGCCCAGCACCAACATGGTACGGGAATTGATCTCCTCGGAGCTGAGCATGTCGCGTATCTGGTTGTGCGTCTTCTGTGCGATCCAGTCGTTAATTTGCTTTAGGCAAATTTCCGGTTTATTCTTGAAGTCCAATTCCTCGGTTTCACCGAAGAGCAATGTTTTGAATATACTGGAAACATTTACCGACTGGTCGACGAAAATGCGGTTCACAGATGAGAGCTCCATAGGATTTTGGCGCGACCGAGATTCGTCCTGCCTCTTTCCCAATGTGTAAGAAGTTAGGACCTGCTGCTTGCTGGAAGCCCATCCCAAATTCAGTCCCTGGGCCAGCTCACTTTCCGTCGCCCCGGAGGAACTGAAGTAGGCGAGGAGCAGGGCGTTATAGGTGCTAAACGGCGAGAAGAACAGATTGCCATATGGATACATTTCTCGGATCTGTTTCATCAATGCTATGGAGAAGTCTCGTTCTCCCTTAAAAATGTTTGAATATCCATTCAGTTGTGATAACTTCGGTTTGTCCAAGACAGCGAGCGTTACTACTGGAAGGAGGGCCAAGAGGACCAAACTAAAGGTGTGCATGTTTGGCAGTGCCTAAAAATTTAAGGACATCCATTATTTTATGAACTAAGACTAGGGATTAGTAGAGAATGTGAAATTAAATGGAAAAATTTCATAAATATTTGCCACGATATATTATTACTTCCCAAAGAAAACGCATTCATCATTAATGATTAATGTTCTCGTGAAATTTAACTTATTATTCATAATATGTATGTACGAGTATATTCTGGGTTTTTGCCAGAGATAATAAAGATGGAATTCTTAAATATGTATGAATATTAAATTAGTAACAAATTTTAAAACGTGTCCCTAGTTTCTTAGAACTATTTCAAAAAAGGAGTTGTCAAATAATACTGACTAATATCTTTTTTCACATTTGTGAGCGGATTTGCTTTAATGCTGTATTTCTTGCAGGCATGATAATTCTTAAAATAGTCGTATATACATATGTATATTTACACTGATAAGAAACATTTATGTTCTTGAGTATGTGTTTAAATTTATTGCAAACTTATATTACTACGTATAGTCGTTATTAAGATAACCCTATGAAATATTTATTGTATAAAATCAAATGCACAAGTAAGGCATTACCTTTGGAATTACGTGGGAATTACCTTTAATGGAATATTACACAGGAATAAAACCAGAACTCAGTTGGTCTAACCGATTGCACTTTAAATCTTAAACTAATGACTGTGGCAAGTAAGAGGCAGAGCTTGGTTTTAAAATAAAGCGAATACTGCGATAAGCATGCAAAATCCCAGCTGATCCTCGGCTTTACAGTCAAACAAACTGATAACGCACTTTTTCCATCACTTAAATAATGCGGTTAACGAACCGGAATTTCAAAAACTATGAATTGAGCCAAAAAATGGCTTTTCAATTGCCGTTCTGCTCCCTAATAAATTCTTATGAGTTTCTTTTTTACTCGTTAAATGCAATATAATGAGATATTTTATATATTTATAAAATTCTGTTAATTACTAAATGCAAAAAGAAATAGTTTCTGATTCGTACAAGTGAAAATGATTAACTTAATTTTAAAACGATAACTTTTTCGAAGCCTTAAGTGAAGCGCTCCAAGTTCTGATGAACGAGACCAGTTACAATACTAAAAAAGTCTGACTCCTACTGTGACTGCTAAACGATAACCGCTAAAGCTTGGTTCACCACTAGAATTCCACACTTGACAACACTGGCAGCCACCACCGTGATTGAATAGTCGCGAATTGACAACAAAATTACGCGATAAACAAACCGAATTTCGCACCCGCTCTCCGAAATGAGTGCATCGACGAGCACGTCGACGGCGGCGTCCCAGGACGCCTGCTACATATCGCTCCTTGGCCTGGCGGAGTACTTCCGCACCTCGCAGCCGCCGAACATCAAGAAATGCATCCAGTGTCTTCAAGCCCTGTTCACATTTATGCCGCCCTCGAAGGTCGAGGCGCGGACACACTTGCAGATGGGCCAGATCCTGATGGCCTACACCAAGAATATCGATCTGGCGCGCCAGCACTTGGAAAAGGCGTGGAGCATATCCGAGCCGCTGCCCAATTTCGACGTTAAGTTCGACACCGCCTCGCTGCTGGCCCAGCTGCATCTGCAGACGGACAGGAACTCACACCAGGCCAAGGCGATGCTCCGGCGAGCCGTGGAACTGTCGCAAAACAACGTCTACTGGCACTGCAAGCTTCTGCTCCAGCTGTCTCAAATTCATGCCAGCGATCGCGAGTATTCGCTGGCCTCGGAACTGCTGGCCGTAGGCGCGGAAAGCGCCGACGAGGCGAGCGCCACGTACCTGAAAGTGCTCTTCCTGCTCTCGCGCGCCATGATCCTTATGATCGAGCGCAAGACCAACGACGTGCTCGCCCTGCTCAACTCCGCCGGCCAAATCATTGACAACAACATACCGAATCCGCACCAGAAGGAGTACCTGAAGGTGTTTTTCCTGGTGTTACAGGTGTGCTACTACCTGGCCCTGGGGCAGGTAAAAACGGTGAAGCCTAGTCTCAAACAACTACAGATGTCTATACAAACGATAATGGCGCCAAATTGGCCCTCGGATGAGGCGATCTTCGGTGCAAATCAGCTTGAGATGTTCGTGTGGCTACCCAAGGAGCAGCTGTATGTCCTGGTATATTTGGTCACCGTCTCCCACTCGATGATGGCGGGCTACATGGACAAGGCTCAGAAGTACACGGAAAAAGCTCTCACCCAGATCGAGAAACTAAAGCAACAGGAGGACAAACCAATTCTATCCGTATTCAAGGTAATTCTGCTGGAGCATATTGTGATGTGCCGCATGGTGATGGGCAACCGGGAACTGGCTATCCGGGAAATAGCTGCCGCGAGAGATGTTTGCATGGCGGCTCCGCAACGCAGCTTGCTACGGCGTCACTCGGCCCAGCTGCACTGCCTCATCGGGCTCTACTCCATGTCCACCAACCTATTTGAGCATGCAGAGAGGCAGTTTGTCGTGTGCGTGAGTGAGACCAGTGAGCGAGACCTGAAACTGTTTGCCAACCTCAACCTAGCGATCATTTATCTGCGCACCAAGCGGGACACTGATCTCAAGCAAATCCTGGATGCAGTCTCAACGGAAAACACGCACACGTACAGCAGTCAAGCACTGATGGGAGGCTTTTATTACGTCCAAGGACTGCACGCTTTTCACAAGAACAGCTTCCACGAGGCTAAGTGAGTAACCCCTTAAGCCTTTATAGAGTTTGAGTGTGGACTCACAGTCTTTATTCTTTACAGACGCTTTCTGCGTGAAACCCTGAAAATGGCCAACGCCGAGGACCTCAACCGACTGACCAGCTGCTCGTTGGTTCTGCTATCGCACGTCTTTCTCAGCATCGGAAACTCAAAGGAAAGCATGAACATGGTGACGCCGGCCATGCAGCTGGCCAGTAAGATACCCGACATCCACGTCCAGCTGTGGGGATCGGCAATACTTAAGGACCTGCATCGTATGTCAAAGGATGTGCAGCATGAAAAGGATGCATATGCCAACCACGTAAAATACTCGGAGAACCTGATTGCAGACCAGCGCAAGTGCGTCCAAAGTGCGCATCACGAACTCGTCAACTGGTTCCAGGGCGATCCGCCTGTGACGAGTGGACCGCCAGCCGCCCCCGTCCTGCTCATGCCAGAGTCCTCCGTCACAGCCTCAGTCCCCGTCATCGCCTCCACATCGGCAGCCATGCAGCCGGCGGGGCAATACGGTCAGTTCTACTAGCAATGAGATGATTATGCAATGTAACTTTAAGCTTTTATTTTTATCTACGACCTAGCGACTAAGTTAAGACTAAAGATGTTCTAAAGTTGTGAATTTTGTCATAAACTGTGTTCCCTCGGGAAAAAGTAGACGGAAATGTAAAGTGGACGAGTTGTGCGCTCTTGAGTTGGGATTTTCAACTTAGGAATATAATCATTATTACAATGGAGAATACATAGTTGGGGTCATCGGGTCTCAACCATCTATACAAAAGCCGCCATGCTTGCACAGCTTCTACTTCGCCTTATATCATAAGTGCAGATTCGGCCATCTCATTAAGATCTTCTTCAAGGGCTCCGCTTCCGTTTTCTTTGTTGCTAAGAAAGGTGAAATGCACCAGGCGTTTGTCGTGCTGCTCGTGCCCGGCCAAATGCATTCGCATCTCGGGCATCGACTTGAACTCCTCATTGCACACCGGACAAATGTAGATACGATCGCCCTGATGGGTACGCTGATGCATCTGGCAGTCACCCCGTTGCGTAAAGGTTTTCGAGCAGAATGGGCAGACGTACGGCCGCTCACCTGTGTGCGTCCTTCTGTGGTTCTTTAGCACGTTCAGGGCAGTGAATCTCATGGGGCAGAGATCACAGGCGTACGGCCGTTCGCCGGTGTGTTTTCGTTTGTGCTTGGCCAGGGAGCAGCTGGTGGTGAATCTGGCCAAACACACCTCGCATTCGAAGGGCTTGTCGCCTGTGTGGGTGCGGGCATGAGAGGTCAGTTCCGCCTTGGTAACGAACGAGTGCGGGCACAGCTCGCACTTAAAACTTTTGGTTTCGGAGTGACGCAGTTTGTGTTGGCGCAAATTGGCGTTCTGTGTAAAGCTCTTTCCGCAGATATTGCACATAAAGGGTTTCTCGCCAGTGTGGATGCGCATGTGATCACGCAGCGTCGATAGCATGGTGAAAACTAGAATATTAGGAGGCGATTAGATGGGACTTTCGGCCACTCTTTGTTACTTTACCTTTCTGACAGATTTTGCACTGATTCCGTAGATTCCGCTTGTGGCCCTGCACCATGTGCTTGCTAAGTTGCTCCTTGGAGTCATAACGTAATCCACACTCCGGGCAATTGTGGGCACCATGACTGGCCTGGTGTTCTGCCAAGTGATCCGGCGACACAAAGACCTTTTCGCACTCATTGCACTTGAAGTTGCGGTTAATGCAACCCTTTTGGCGTCTGTGGATCATCAAAGATTTCTCCAGCGCGAATCCCGCGTTGCAACGATCACAATGGTACTTTAGCTCAGGGGTAATGGCTGTTCCTGACGTGGTGCTTGGGCTGTTTACTGTTCCTGTTCTTGGCGCGCACAGTTTTCGCTGTGTTCCCAACCGAAGCTGTTTGGAGGAAGGCTCTGCTTCTGAAGTAGGGGTAGTTGGCACATCCTGCTTGACACCTCCGCGCCGCCGTGAGGTGCGCTTAGCTGTCTGAGGCACGTGTTCCTTCTGTATTTCGCGGGCTTCATCCTTAGGAGTTTCCTGCTTTTCGTTTTCCTGCTGCGTTAAGAGTTTGGCAGCGCTCTTTCTGGTGGTAACCTGAGGAGCGGTTACTGTGATGATCTCCGCCTCGTTGTCGACACCTTCAAAAATGGCTAGATTACACTCCCTAATCTGCTGCTCCAGCTCGTTGTCGTCGCCTTCGTAAATAACATTGGTTTGGGTAAACACCACTTCCTTTTCGTCCTTCAAATTTCCCTGAACCTGGAGAATGAGGCTGGTGGTCTTTTCGACAGGCTCATCCGGCAGCTCATAGTCGAAGACTTCGCCCTCGTCTTCGTAGTCCAGGTCCACTGAAATCGTGGACTTAACTAGGCTGGTATTCTGTTCGGCGTCTGTGGTAGCCACTGCGTCCGTTTGCACGGAGACAGTGCATCTGTCGGGCTCCCAACTAGTGGTCTGCACAGCCTGGTCTGTCGTGGCCACTGGACAACTAATGGACACCTTGTTATCGGGCTCCTCCGGAAGAGCATTCGGCAGCAACTGGCGCAGAGTGCGACTGGAGTTCTCGCACTTCATCTTAAAGGTGTAGCAGTTGGAGATCTCACTTAAACAGCTCAGGCACACCTTTTCGGGAAGATTATCGTTGCGGCGGGGCTTAAAAACGCAGAATAACCTTGATTAACAAGGAAATCAGGATCACACAGCGGAGCAGCCACTTACCTTGGTTTTTGTGAACTCCCGGATCATGTCCGCCAGGCAGCTGCCGGATCCGCCGTCGTAAATGGACAGGAGGGGTCCCGTGGAACTCAGGCAGGTAAGGCAGATCTTGTCCACATCCATTTCGCGACGCAATCGGTCAAAACCAGAAACAAAATAAAACAATTAAATAAATTCAGTGTGGCTGCCGTTTGAGGCACTGAATATACCGATGCATTTCAAGTGCACCTGGTCACACCTTTAATGCAGTTGGCGGCTTTCGCACAATTCAAAAAATACTTAAGGGTG